CAGGAAGAGTTAAGAGCAAATCCTTCACATCGTCCCTTAAACCCCAATAGAATTGACTCATCAACGCTTCTTCGTCCCAATTAATGTCGCATGCTAATTGCCTGAAGTCCGATGCATAGACTGATGTAGAACGCATCCCTTGTCGTAGTGACCGGATCTTTGTTGTAGCCCATCGAACCTTGTCGTGTTCACCAAATGCTTCCGCAAATGCCTCTAAAAAGGTTTCAAAGTTATTTAGTATGGACGATCGTTTCTCAAACAAAGGAGCAAACCATGATAGAGCTTGTCCTGTAAGTAAGGTTTCAACAAGCCCAACACGTGACTCCTCCGTTGGATAGCGTTCGGGCTGTAAAGCTGTTATTAACCTAATTTGGTTGACGAATCCTCGAAACTTGGAACGCGTACCATCGAACTTGTCCGGAAGGCTAACTCGAAGTTCCTTATGTTGTAGAACCAACGGTGCTTGTCGAACCTGAGGTAAAGTTGCTTCTCCAAGTGTAGAAGTTTGAGGCTGGTGCAACCTAGATTGTGCCATCCCAGATGCTCCATCATTATGAAGCCTTGCCACGACTCCTTCAATCTCTGCAGTTCTTTGCGATAACGTAGCGAAGGCATTCATGATAGCATCTAACTTGGACTCTGAACTTTCCGTCATACTAATGTCTTACCTCAAACCATTCTAAGAAAAGGAAAGAAATGACTCTACAAGAAGACAATATTGGTTTAGAGGAGGGTACTCCGCAACCTCTAAAATGCCTTAAGAGCTTCAAGAAAAGGGGTAATCCACTCTCTTCAAGAAGAATAAGACTCCAATATTGTAACAAAAGAAATATCAGTTTAGAGGAGGGTAATCCGCAACCTTTAAAGTACTAGTACACTTCCAAGCAGAGTGATAATCCACACTCTAACAAAGAAGAAACTAGCTCTGATATCTAAGGTGAGTGGAATCTCGACAAACTGTCACGGACACAGAATACAGACTTGATATCTACCAAGAAGTTTAAGAAAAATTGGCAAGAACTAGATTAATCAGATGAATACAAAAACAACACCAGAGAGGTGAGCTAGAACTCCAAGAGATGTGTTGTCGAGACTGAAGAACTCTTCAGCCTCGATTCCAATATATACTCCTATTTAGGAAGCTTCTCAAGCAACTTCTACCAACTAGGAAGCTTCTAGAAGGTTCCTGAGACTTGCTTCTAGAAGGTTCTAGAAACTTATCTCTAGAAGGTTCTAAGGACTATGTTCCTAACATCTTTTATCAACTAAGAAGCTTCTAGAAGGTTTCAGAGACTTGCTTCTAGAAGGTTCTAGAAGCTTGTCTCTAGAAGGTTCTAGAAACTTGTCTCTAGAAGGTTCTAAGGACTATGTCCCTAACAGTTGTAATACAATATGTCAACATTATATTGGCACATTATTACATGCAGGTTTGTAAAATTTTTGTTTTGAAAAGAATGTATTTCCATCTCTTTAAGGAAGAGTATCCAATCAATAAAGAAATAAAGTACTTGTATTTGAAGCACCGGAAATATTTATAATGAATCCCGATCCTATCACATCTTTGGCTGAAATTGAAGTTGCTAAGCTTTTGCATCTAAAATAGATCACAAATGAAACGCCTGATGGCTTCAATGATACTCCTAGAATTATAAGAGTTTCTATTAATGAGGCTCAGAATGCTCCTGCTTTGATTGTAGTGCCACTGACTACAATATCTCAAGTTATAACAACAACTAAAAGAACTTATGGATCAGATTAGCAACCACATAAGAAGAAAGCTATAATATTGACTAATCTTGGTATTATTTTTCAAGAAATTGCCACTCAACATACACGACCACCAATTCATGATGATATATCCATCTATAATGTATCTTCAATTTTTGTGAAAAAACAATCTTAGAATTGGAAAGAATAAGAACAAGTTGAGTAAAGAATTATCTATTTTTTATTATGCTACAGACGATATTTGGATTAGACCATCTATTACGATAGATGAATTATTTGCATGTATGATTATAGAAGCCTTTTCTTGCAAGGACGACAATCTTGAACCTCAAACCATCGAGGAAGCAATGTGTTGCTCTGATTGGTCAAAATGGAAAATTGCTATTGAGGAGGAATATATCTCTTTATGTAAGAAGAAATTCTTTAGTCCAATTATAGACACTCTTACATCTGGTCTTGTGTGATATAAGATGGTATTAATACATAAGTGAGATGCTCAGGGTCAAATAACCCACTATAAAGCTCGTCTTATTGCTCAAGGATTTATTCAACGATTTGGCATTGATTATGAATCCACATATTTTCCAGTCATGGATTCAATTACATTTTGATATATTATTAGAATGGTAGTTCATGCCACCCTTGAGATCCATCTGATGGATGTAGTAACTACATATCTATATAGTTCTCTTGATGCAAATATTTATATAAAAGCTCCACCTAGCTTAAAAATAGGAACTCCAAATGGACCTACTCCAAGACAATATCATGGTATTAAATTATGTAAGGCCTTGTATGGTTTAAAACAATCCAGACCCATGTTGTATCAATGTCTTCAAGATTATTTAATTACACATAAGTTTGTAAGTGATCTACTAATCCCCCGTTTATTTATCAAAGAAGATAAAATTGGTTTTGTGATCATCGTTGTATATGTTGATGATCTTAATGTGGTGGACACTAAATCTACATGTATTGTAGCTACTAACCTACTTATATATGAATTTGAGATTAAAATGCTAGGAAAAAATAACTTTCTGTATTGGCCTTGAAATTATGCATCTCATAGATGGTAGCATTTTTTTCCAACAACTAACGTATATTAGACAAATCTTGCGCAGATTCAATATGATTGATGCTTATCTATTGTCTACATCAATGGTTGGATATGGCCGTGATGGTCATGATCCACATTACCCATGCGAGGAAGAAGAAGAAATATTGGGAGATCAATATCCATACCTCGTAGCAGTTGGAACACTTTTACATTTGGCTACATCTACAAGACCAGATATTGCATTTGCAATTAGTTTTCTTACAAGACATAGTGCACGTCTAACACTACAATATTGGAATGGCATCAAACATTTATTACGTTATTTAAAAGGTACTAAAGACTTGGGATTATACTACACATAATCTGCAAATCCAAAATTGGTTGGATATTTTGATGCAAGATATAAATCTGATACTACAACAGCTAAATCTCAAAGAGGATATGTATTTTTAAGACATGGAGCTGCAATATCATGGAAATCAGTGAAACAAACAATAATTGCAACTTCATCCAACCATGCAAAAATTATTGCCTTACATGAAGCATCTCGAGAATGTATTTGGTTGCAATCAATTGATCAATTCATTCAAACAACCTGGGGATTTTCATATAATGATTCTCCATCTATCTTCCATGAAGACAATAGTGCTTGTATTGCACAAATGTAAGTTGGTTTTATTAAAGGTGATAAGACAAAGCATATTGTTTCAAAGTATTTTAGTTATATTCATGACTTGATTACTAATCAAACACTTATAATTAAGAAAATTGAATCTGCAAATAACCTTGCTGATCGCTTCACTAAAGCTCTTTCATTGTGCAACCATTGTTGATTTACTTATGGCATTGGTATGCGGCGACTTGCTTTTCTTGAATAAAAAAGTTAATTAACTCTTTAAATAACTAAGGAAAATGATGTTGTACTCTTTTTCCTAGATATGTTTAATAATATTGTATTTAAAGGCAAAACATCATATTGATTCCATCATTTAAATACAATAAGGTTTTCCTAGATAAGATTTTAATGAGGCAACAATTGTTGATCTTGCAAGACCACATAAAAGTATAGATCATAATTCCATACAAATTTTATATTATGTAAACATTATGATGAACGAGGAGGAGTATTGAGAGCATTAAATGTAGCTAGTGCTCTCCATAATATTTACTGTAGTCTATAGTAAATACTATAGCTATAGTATTTGGAATGTAGTGGAGAGAAATTGTTTATCCTCTTCCCTTCTCATCTTGTTTGTGTAAAGCTCTCTCTCCTTAGAAACTCTCTTGTATGTGTGTGTGTATTACTTACTACTATTCTTGTGTCTTTCTAAACATTCTCAATAATTACATTATATTTGTATCAATAATCCTAAAATCCCAAAAATCCTTCTTAAAATTATAATCTTAACTTGGATTGTTCTAGTAGCATTTTACACCCTTTCTCATAACAACATAAAAATGATAATATTTTTTAAGTAGAAGGAAATCCTAGGAAAGACACCTCCCATTTATAGCACAAACACCTCTTGTGCTGCTCTGCCCTACATGTATATCCCTGTAAAAAAAAATAAACAAAAAAACCAAAAAAACCAAAAAAAAAAAAAAAAAAAGTTTTAATTTTAAATCATGATTTTCAATAATTTGCTACTTTAATACGAAGATTTGATATACTCTTATTCATTTATATTATATAATTTCACATTATGTCAATAATTTTATCCTTGCAAGACTTCGTCAAATTGATTTTTTAAATAATAAAAACACTATTTATAGTTATATGTGTGTATATACAATTAATAAATTAATTGACGTGAAGTATAAAATGAATTTAATCAAAAAAATATAATTTAAAATAAAAACTAGTGCTTTTTTGTTGATATGTGTATGCAAGGGTGTCGCCTGGAAGATGTTCACCAGGCTGACAGACATATAATTTCCAGACAACTTGTTGATATTTGCTACTTAAAGTAATTCACTTCATGTTCTACTGAATAAAATGAAAGGTAGTCACAATACATGTATCCACTCACTGCATTAGTTGGACATATTTAGTTAATATTTGTTCGATCAATACTTAAGAAAGTTTTATAATTCAAACTTTCTTCTTTCTATTTATGAGAAGTTAGTTCGGTTGTTTCTAGTCAGAACGGACTGAATATATACATTCAGGTATACACATGTAGTATATCCACACATGTAATATAATCCTGACATATTTACGTTTAAATGATGATGCTAAGTACATACTCTTCATATTATGAAATAAAACTTTCAACAGCCACGTAAGAGGTTTACACATACTTGTTACAGGCAATTTAGCCACATTGTAATAAAGTAATGGCTCAAGCCGAAGACGATTTCCACACCGTGTAATGAAGCGTAAAGAAACGATGAGACAAAATGAAGATGTCGTGTATTTAACGATTACCTTTCCACTGCAGCAGCAGCCATTAAAGGTGCAGAGATTTCGACTAGCTACTTATCCACAACCTTCAAGGCAGGTTGTTGATCTGAGAGGGTACATTGGAGCGATACTTCGGTCACGGTGATATTGATCAGCCGTGCTTCAATTCGGCTCCATCCCTTCGACAGAGAGCAGCACAAAATTCCTACAATGTGAATTCAGCGAATTTAGACCAAGTTGCGGATGAACTCAGAGGCTGTTGCGAGAGCTCCACCAGTGATGGCCTGCTGCAACATCTTGTCCTTCGTGAAACCACTTTCGGTGAGGGACAAGATAGCACCCGTCACTGCACCTCCGATGGCGGCATTTTTCTGCCAATCAGTGACACCTTTAGGTTAGTGTTAAGAAGATGCTTCAATACTGCTTCGAATTGTAAGTCATAATATACACTAGATGTTGAAGACGGTGTCCGACTGAGGGTCAGTGGTCAATTACATACCCAGTCCTGCACTCCTCGAGACTTCTCCAAGGAGTATTCAACTCCGGCGTATACACCAGCTACAGTTCCTGCACATGCCACAATAAAAACAAACGAACGACAGTTAGCTCCTGCCACTATCGGGGTGATGTTGGCCGATGACTCATTCGTGCTCTATAGTTCATGTGGAGCTTTTGGAGGTACACGGGTAGCGAAGAACGTGAAAGAAACCCCAACAAGAGCAATAAACTTCTTTGAACAGTGTGGAGATCTTGTAGATATTGGTAAAATGCTTTTAGGGAGGTGATTGGGCATACACACTGGTTGGTTCTTACCCCATTGGAGACCCTCACGGCCTGCCCTTTTGACCAACTTCTCCAAGTCGTTCTTAGTTAATGCTTCTGCATTCAGAAAGACAGATGTCACAAATGTCAAAACTATGAGGGTATCGACTCCGGGTCTTTCACCACTGCCATTTCTCAAATGCATTCGCTGCTAATGTAATTGGAAACAAGTACCTAAAAGGATGAGCAACAGGGGTCACTAGTTACAAGCTACAGATGATACAGATCCCGTATTCATCACATTCAGATCAGATAATGCATACCGCTCTTCAAGATGCGGAATGTATCTTGCACGACAGCATGGGCAGCCCCAACCTACACGAGACAACAACAGATATAAAACTCTCATGCTGAAGTAACAGATGCCGAATACGTGTCCTTTCAAACACGGTGACATTGCATTTCCTTGCATGATGAATGAGCACATGTATGGCGCCCAACATTGGGCAGTGCGTATCTAAACTTACAGCTACCTCAGAAAGCTTTCGACATTAAACATCTAACATTTGACAACAAGTTCTGATCAAGAATTAACATCGTGCAATGTGAGGCAAAGCACCAAGGGACTTGAAGGCTGTAACACTTACCCCTCCAACTTTGAGGAACCCATCGACGGAGTAGTTGAGAAGAGGATGACCCAAGTCCACAATGACATCCACTTTCGGGGATTCCACGGAAGCTGAGAACCTCGATCGCACCATTTTTCCTGTTTATTTCCTTAAAGTGTGAAGGGTATATCTGTATACATGCGCAAAAGTCTATCAACCATCAAAAAAAGTTACAAGTTCCACTACTCAGAATGCTCGACCTACAGTCAAATCTCAACATGCGAAACTCCCGGCGTCTCACCCAAAGCCAGGCAAATCAACGAAGGACCCTTCTCGACACCAAATGCAACCAAAACCTAGAGAAAAGATATACTAAAAAGATATCCCACCTAGGCGGACGCTGGGACGCAGGACGACAACACCAAATACAACTCAAGGAGGGCCAGTTCTCAAACCACATTCCCAAGCTTGAGCAACTCCCCCATCAAGCCCACATCTAAAACATAACAAAAGGAAAGCATACACCAAACTGTCGAGTATATATATATATATATATATATATATATAGATACACGCACTCGAAGTGGGGCAACTCAAGAGCTTGTGCAAAGTGCAACGCAAGAAACCCACGAGCAGATTCAAAACCACAAGCAACAGATAGGAGGCAACAAAATACCGGCAGGAGCAGCGAAACAGGCTAAGCAAGTCAAAAAACACGCGAGCACCAAGATGGGGGTGAGAGAGCTGCACCTTTGAGGGGTGAGAGAGGAGATATGCAAAGGGGAGCAAGACAAGTGGAGGAGACCCAGTGTAGCAGGATGAGACTCCACACTTGTATATATGTATGCATGGGCTGGTCCCCACCACACTGGCTGTGAAACCGAGACTTGTGAAGCCCCCCTTGCGCTGCTGTGAGTAGAATTAGTGTGAGCGGCGGCATTCACCGCATCCCCATGCCCAGCTTTTCCGACGTGGATACAAAAAACCTCAAAGGAAGCCTGAGAAATTCCTCCACATATCTTTGCCGAAGTGAGTGAGGACAATTACGACGACGACGACGAGGATGATGGGAACACATGAGGAGGAGGCAAACAGTCTTGCCCGTGTGAACGGAATCCCAAAGGTACAGGTGGCATTGGTTGACTGTGCCACGTAGGATGCGACATTACGCTTCGGAATGGAAGTGGGCGGGAGGGGGGACTTTAATGGCTCTCCACCAATGAGAGAGAGAGGGGGGGTTATGATCCTTTTTGTGGAAAAGCGTGGTCCGATGACTGTGGTCCCTTATCCACTTCGCCATGATATATTGTTATTAGTGTGGGTTGGGATTGGCATTGGATAGATATTCATCTTTCATTCGTTTTTCATCCATGCAGTGCAATCCAACCCCTCTCATGCCCAAAATCCAATTGAATTGTGTTCAATGAAAACCTTGTCCTACCCCTATTATTATTTTTTTCAATTATATATATATATATATATATATATATATATATGTGTGTGTGTGTGTGTGTGTTTTTTCGACTTTGACAGTATTATGTTTTCCATTTTTAAAATTCCAAAATATTTTAATGAATGTAGCAAGCAGACTATTATCTAAATGAATAACTCTTCTGGGGAAATAGTTATAAATTTGGATTTTTTTTTAATATAAATGTACTGTACCTCTCGTCTTCTCACTATTTGTATATATACACAGATATACACATATACATATATACAATGAGAGAGAGAGAGAGAGGGAGAGAGAGAGAATAAAGACACCTGATTCAACGTTGTTTCATTCTAAGAGTTTTTTTTTTTAACAAAACAGTCATTCAAGGTTACTAATTTAAACTCACCATGTGTATGATTTTTAACACTGCCCATTACAGTTTGTACTTCCATCAAGGAAATCGTAAGGTTTAATGGTAATGAATGTTCTGAATTATGTTTCAAAAAAATGTAGGAGACTTAATACATATGTTATATTATTTCAAGTTTTTCAGTTTTGTTTCATCTCATCCTAGTCAAGAAATAAAGCTCAAGATAAAAATTTGAATTGGGGTTTTTTCTTTTCTTTTCTTTCAAAAAAAATTATAAAAAATACCTCTCAGCACTATTCTAAGAAACTTAATCTATGGTTGGGTTTTTGTGTGATTTTAATCTCACTTGGAATCAATTTTTATCATACGATAATTGTTGAAAGCAAACTGTCATGCATCATTCTAATAAGATCTCTTATCAATTAAAAAAATATATAAAAATAAAAATACGTAAGTAAGAAAGTTATATTTGTATATTTACAAATAAGAGCGTTAGATGGCATTAACTTATATCCAAAATCTTGGTCACAAAAGTAAAGCATCAACAAACAACACAAACATAAATACAGTCGGACAAACAGACATTTGAAAAGGATGTAAATATAATGTATGAAACTTTCATCCAAAACGAAAGCGCATTCATCTAAACACACATGGAAAAAACCACAGCCGGGGGTAAAAGATAAAATCCAAGTAATCGTGGGGGCCAATGGGCAGCTGCCAGTGACTTGGACGATGGCACCCATGACCGTGTCCATGCGACACGTGTGAACGCCTGAAACCGGCCGGGTGATGAACGAATGGGTGAAATGGGGAACCCGTGCCTCCGAAGGAGATGAGGAAGCGCAGCGTCTGATTTGCCTCTTTTTCCTCGGTCCCCAGTAAATACTGCGATCATTCATACCTTTCCTTCTTTGAGTGTGTTTCGAGATCTGTCCAGCAGCCAATCTGACGTATCTCATGATCTGAAAGCGAGGCAGAGGAACGCGCTTTACGAAATGGCTCGAGGACAAGACTAAAGGTGCTACCGACCATAATGATCTCTCTTTAGCAAAACGTTCCCATTACATCCAACCTGAAAAAGCCATTGACTAGGGATAGAAGAATAGCCTCGGGGTGTCTGTTTGTGTGTGAAGTTGTGAGCACTCTTGTTGCGCAGATCACCACGCTGGTGGCATGATGATTGAACTTACACGATAATCGAGGAACTATGGGCAAGGCTGTTTGACCAAACTGAGTGGTGAGAATTGAGTACCAAATCTGGGAAGGATGAGCATGTCATTGATACCAATCACTTGCTGGTTGATTACAAGGTTCTCCCTCATGCTCAAACATTGATTATGAGGGAACGGGAACTGGTTACAAATGCATTCGGTAACCATTCCAGATAATAGGGGAGACAAAGAAATCAGCAGATAAGGCGACCACGGTCGAAGCTGTTCAAAATCCAGTACAAGGGTAATTTTGGTCATAAATCAAGCAGCTGAATATGAGAGTGAAGAACATCGTCTTAGCACACAGAAGTGTATATTGTATTAGAAACGAAACGAACTCAAGATTCACCAAAGATGTCTGCACAGTGTGGAATACTTTTTGATTTAAACAAACCTCAACAGTGATAAAATGATAGGTATCAAGAGAAAGAACTCCCGCAACATGGCCAGTGCACAAGCCCAAATACATAAGGGAGTTCCAAAACACTATGCGTCCAAGGAGAGCTTAAATCCCCTACTTTCGACCAAAAATTAGATACGCGCCCGAGAAAGAGAAGTTCATAGACGGCAATGCAAATCCTCAAGAGTCCCAGCTATCATCAACCTTATCCCCATATACATATATGTATGTGTGTGTGTATATATATATATATATATATATATATAGATATTGCTCCTAAATTCCGAAATTTGCGATAGAACTAGGAGCAGTATGTCTTTGAAAGCATTTCCCACATATGGGAGAGGTAGAAAGAAGTCAGCCCTCACAAATCTTCTGTACGTTGAGAAACAAGCGGCTAGTGCACTGCCATACTTCCCACGCAGGCAAGCACCCACAAGACTTCAATGGGCATCAACAAAGCAAAATAAAGGAGTAAAAAGGTAAAAAGGTAAAAAAGTAAAAAATACAATCAATGGATGAGGATGATGCTCGAAGTGCACGGCAAGCATGAGGGAGCTATCCAGCTGCAACAACAGGACCTCCACCAACTGCTACCATGCTTGCCATGTTCTTCTGATCGTCCACTCCCCTTTGTAGGCTTCCCATCTGTACATCCTGGGCATGAACAGAAAATCACAAAATAAACCTACGAATAATGAACTGACATCTGTTGATTTGAGAGGTTCGTTAAAGCTTAACCTGCCACCACATTGCACAGAGATCATCCTACTTGCTGTTAAGCTCAGACTACTCTCCTTTCCAAAAATCGGATAACCACGGGATAACCTCGACCAGTTGTTTAGGAACAATAAATAGCGTAGACCCAGGCAAATGAGAAGAGCGTACATAACTTACCACCACTCGAGAAACATTTTCTACACTATGCTGCAAGCCCGCTATCTGGTGCTGCTGTTGCTCCAGAATGATCTGTACCCTCCAGAAACCATCACACCAATCCCCCACCTTAGCTTAATGCACACAAGCCACAAAGGCTGACAACGAATTAAGCTATTGTGATACCAGATGAGAGCACAAACAGAAATATTTGGGTACAAAAGCTGCAATTTCAGTAAGCTTGCACGAAGATTAGAAGGACCGCTTTGAATCCTAGTACGCTAAAACTAAAACGAACATTCTTAATCTCCCTGTAGAGCAGTGAATGTGCTTACTTGCGGTGGATGCAACATGAGCTGCTGCTGCCCCCCGGCAGCGAGTGGTAGGTTCTTGGACAAGTCCCTTAATACACCCTGTTAATGTCAGAGAAAAAGATGCGTCAAACTCTGTTTACGTCCTCCAACAGATACGTACATTTTAAACTGCTTGTATGTGAGAAATAACTCCTGAAATTATCGTACTTTTTCAGTATATTTACCTTGTTAGCCCACATAAGACCACAGGCATTGCATAACGTCCGAGGTCCCGCAGGTCCTCGCCGCATCATTGGAGTGGATCGTTCTCCAATTCCACAATGCACGCACCTGCAAAGAAAGAGACCAGGAAAATGAATAATACTTCTTATCCGAACAAACCCAGGAATACCGATTCGCAGGCTCAAAGACATCACCTCAGAACTGATTTACGGAGCTGGTAATTCCTATAAAGAAAACCAAAAGGTAAAGCACAAGAGTATACAACAACCCAGAGGAAGCACATACATCACTTCTGGCTGAACTCCTCCTGGCCCTAAAAGTTGTCCGGAGGCTTGGGTACCATCCCAATTAGCAGCAGGTGCGCCCTCTTCCTGAGTTGGTCGTGAAGACGCAAACTGGCCTTTCTTACGATGCATCCTGTACAAAGTCTTAAGTTCGCCTAATAAGAAAGATATTGTAGAGATTGGACTATATTCTCACTGCACTTTCATGACATCATTCAGGAACAACTTCATTGTCTGCAAAGAGCTTCAGACAAGGCAGATCGCTTCCTTGATTTCCGACTGGTTAAGAATACGACATGCGTAAGAAAAGAAAAAAAAATCATGCAAACATCACGGATAACTACAAATATTACCTTTGGGCAACTTCTTTGCGAACAGTATAACGAATCTTCTTATCATAGCACCGCTCTTTGCGCTTCTCCCGAAATCTTGTCAATGATGCCAGCCGCTGGGGCATGTTCATTCTTGTAGGCAACTCTGGCATTCCCTGAATCGTTCAAGACGCAAGATCCGTTCTTAGAACTCAAAATGAAGATTAGGAGTTCGAAACTGATTTCCAAGATTAATACGATACGAACGCATAAACCAAGATGTCGCGTGCACACCTGGAAAAGGAAACCATCTCCAAAAAAATGCCTGTAGAAGGACATACTGTAACTGTGTTCGATAGGAAAAAAAGCAAGAACTTTACCTTGTGATGATGATGGCTAGACACATTCCCACCCGACATGCCTGGAGGTATCTCGCGGCCACCCAATAAAAGCAACACAGCCTGGACCTGTAATGAACATACTAAGAGAGTTAACCAGTCTAACTCCATAGACCCTCTCAGCACCGTTATGAAGCGCAATTTAAAAGCACACACATGCACAAAATCCAGGAATCGAAACATCCTACGAGAGCAGAGGCAGCAATTATCATGCGGAACAGCACAGTATACATAGGGTGGCATTATCTGGTCCACACTACATGAAAACACATGAATTTAAGCAAGAAGTATTTCATGCGAATTAAGGAAGCAATGCGTGATGCTTCACCTTCTCTGGTGGCACGGTATCAAACACGTAGACCTCGCCTTGATAAGATAAGGTGAGTTGTGTGGAGCCTTGGGTTCGTGCAGCTAGGGCAACAGGAGGATCGCCCGGATTTCCACCACCACCATCAGAATGCATGTCAGCTTCATCTAGACCTTCCTCATCTCCAGCATCATCATCATGCTCCTCCACTCCGGCTGCATTCTCCTCACCACGATGCATTCCATGCCCGTGATGACCGTGAACGTGATCCCCTTCTAAATGCCCTTGGACTCGTTGGTCCACCCTACCCTGTCCGTCTGCTTCGCCATGACCGTGGCCATGCACGTGCATCTCATGCATGCCATGCTGGGCATGGCCTAATGCATGATTCAAACTGTGCTGGTGAATATTGTGATGTAATTGGAGAGATTGGGCGTGAACAAGGTGATCTGCGTTTGACATCCCTCCCACATCTACTTCCTCAGTGCGCATTCAATTTCGAGACGCGCTTTCAATACCTAGGGGCCCTCCTAAAGTACCTAAAGAAAGCCCTGAAGCCAATCTTCAGCACCTTATGTGAAGTACCATGTAGTGTCCAGAACTCAGGCTAACGTGAAGGCACCGTCATTAGGCATAATCTCTTCTCCATACATCATTTCCTCATTGGATACACAAAGATCTGCATCCTTGGATGAAGACTGTACATCCACCTATCAGAAAATGCGAGATTTCTTTATCAGAGGAGAGGGGGAAAGACCTAATAGCAGTATTTATCAATTAGCAAATTTACACAACTTATAATCATAACAGTAGTAAAACACTACCGACGTCGTCGTCGACAAAGATGCAAACAAAACAGCAAACTAATTTGCAGCGAACAATCCAACCACGTGCTCATACACAAGAAACAAGACCTACCATCACCAATCTACGACCAAAATGTATCTTGAGGGAGAGTAATATAACAAAAAACTTGAGCCAGAATATTGTGTCGTATGCATATACTAATATCGACTGCAGAATAAAACACTGACAAGAAAAAGAAACTACAAATTAAAAAAAAAAAATCAAGATGAAACGGTTTTTGAGGCAATACCGCAAAAACCTCAAACTAGGCCTACTGAACAGGAGGTTACGCGACATGATCATGTCAAATATAATAGCTACAACACACCATAAACGGATGCATGATCCATACAAGTACGCCAACGAGTTAATCGTCCGGTTGAAGAGGGCTACAAAACAAGAACTACAGTCGTCACTGTCCTGCAGCTGAAGTAGAATACGTCCGCACGGTGTTCAAAACGCGGCACTAACTACCCACCGGGACCCAATGCAGCGACCTAAAATAGACCTAACGCTATACTAATACAAGTTGTTTCGCGCGGGAGATGCCTTCCGCATCCCCATCATAGCTGCAGATCGCGACAGTAACATTGCAACATTCTTAACCACATTCCGGCTAACTACAAACGCTCACTCTGCAAACCCCAACGATAAACAGCCGCGTAGAACGCTTCGAATTGCAAAAACAAACCACATCACATGTAAACCTTCCAACCCGTGTGGCCCATTTCTCTGGAACTAGCAATCATCAACCTCCTTCTCTCAAACCTAGACAACCCAACATAGCTGCACTTGGAACCCCAACAAAAATAAATGAAACAACGGAAAGAACAGAAAAGAAAAGAAAAGAAAAGAAAAGAAAAAAAAAAAAAAAAAAAAAAACTTCGATCGAACTACTACACGATGATTGCACAGCACACTCCCTGCCATATTTCAGAAACACAACAACGTCCTGAATTCTTCCTGCTCACGTCCTGACATCGAATTGCACAAAACAACCCCCAAAACAGCCCCCCTCCGACCTTCAAATCGCTCTAACCGTGTCTCCGATCCTTTCAAACCCTACACAGAAAAAAAATATATACACATGTATCCAAAAAAAAACCCCACGAAGGCCCTCTTCACAACTGCAACGAGCCAACCACGCCCCCGAAAAATTGCCCACACTCCACAATCACAACAACTCACCTCGCGAAAAATCCCTCTCTCGCTTGCGAAGAAAAAGCCGTTACCTCAACTCTGCTCCGCCATAGCCTGTGCCGGCACCGCGACGGCAGCTCCACTCCCACCCCCGGGCACCCTGGGCAAGTGCCAGCCACGTCCAAATCGGTGCTCCCAGTCCACAATGCGACGCTCCTTGGCAGCCCCCACGACACCAAACGCTTCAGTACGCCTGTAATGATTTGCAACACTTGGTCGGGACGCAGAGAGGTCGCTGTGCACACGGATTTCGCAACGCAGAAGGGAAGGAAGTTTGCGAGGCAGCAGGCGCGGCGAAGCGAAGCGAGGCGAGACGAGGCGAGGGCGGGGCGACGAGGGGGAGGCCAGGGACGGAGGTCCGAAGATCCCCCCTCCCCCCGTTTCTCCAATCCCTCCTCACCAGCGCCCCCCACCCCAGTAACTTTTTGGAGTGGCTACTTTGTTTGCGGCTTTTTCAGAGTGAGTCGGGTTTTGTTGTAATGGATGGTCTTGGGAGCAGGCGGTAATGGGTCTCAGACGGGCGGGCATAGGGCTGGAATTGCAGTTATGACAAAAACTTCTGCTTGTGGGGTCTTTTCAAGAAAAACAATATGTGAACAATTGCGTGGATGGGTGTTTATAAATTCATACGCTTGTAAAATTTCCTAGTGGAATTGTTATTCTGGGGTGGGGGGGGAAAACAGGTTTTTTAAGTTACACCATTCATCATTTTAATCTATTTTTGATGTCACATTTTCGTTCACCAAATTTGACAAAGAGTGTGAATTTTTCTAGAAAATATTTGTAGGTTTGTGACTTTCTTTTCCTTGATTTCTCTCATCAGGAGAATTCTTGTTTTTTCGAAAAGAGTATTTCGAGGTGATTGAAAGAAACATGAAAATGTGACACCATAGGAAGTTCATTACCACATGGGATATGTCTCATTAGTCTAAAAAAAAATTACTTCAGTATTTCGCTTTTTCAACTGTCTAACGAAATCACACATTAAAATTTACTGTACCTGTGTGAGAGCAAGATGAATTTCATTTTTTGAGCATTTTGGTTTCCTCGAGTAGTTAAAACCGAGTATTATTTCACTTTTGTAATCTGTTGGTGTTGAAATTAGTGTTTAAAATAATTGCAATTCCAAATGTTAAACAATCATAAACATATTAGTGATCAAGGGAAAAGAAAAAAAAAAAAAAAAAAAAAAACTCACCCACACAAACACACACACACACACAGAAACAATTGAAAAACACAGAAAAACACAGAAAAACAACAAAATGACAGGAAAAACTGGATTAAAAGCAACAACAAATATTACTCAGGCACATTCAGTTGGGGTGATTCAAAGATATAGCTCAGATGGATTGGTGGCGTAATATGGGTTCAATGTATTACCCTGAATGGGCAGAAGGCAGTCTCTCTCACGCAGAGCTATTGCAGCCGCTGTGGACAAGACCGGCACACGAACGATCCTCGAGGCCAACATCCCAGTGCCTTTCCAAAAAAGGGGAAGTGAAAAAGTGTTGCAAGGGTGGTTCTCGATTCATTACCTTGTTTTTACAACTGGGTTCCGTATATTTGCAGCAATGCTCTTCCTAAAAACGATAGCTTCCGAGAGCTTCCAGAATCCCAGTTCAAGCCTGAGGGATGATTCGAGACTTCACCATCTTCAGAGCTTTGAGTTGTCTCGAGGAGTGGGCGCCTGAAAGCAGCTGTGTTCATGCAAACATGTAATCCGGAAAATTACTGTTGTCTGGGAAAGACCAAGTGTCCAGAAACACTTTACAAGAAGTGGCCATGCATACATGCAGCCAAAACAAAATTTGGAGAAACTTGAGGTGGAAGAATTGAGGAACTGGCGGAGCAAGAAAGAAGTAAAAGCACAAACACTGCGAGAATCGGAGGACTTTAAAAACAAGAGAAGAGTAATCCAAATCATTTGGTTCTGGTTTAGCGGGTTGTGCTCTTCATCGGTGATTCCATTGAACGGCTGTATTACAGAAAGATTGGGAAATAAGGACATCAGAAACAATTTTGTTTCTTAATTAGAAGTTTATGACTAAGGGTTAAACGATTTACAAATATGAGCGTCATCCACGGACTACAACTGTGGTATGCTCGTCTGACACGAAGACGGGGATTAACCTGAAAATACAAGAAGAGTAAGAATTAGCAAGAGGACCACCAGAAATACAATGGTCATAACTTGTCCTTTCCAACCTGCCTTCTTCAATACTCCTGCAATTCTTTTCTGCACAATTGCAAATTAAACGAAGTCAATAGTGAGAAATTCAAAGCAGCTCACCGATCACCTCAGAACTATCACAACAATTGTCATGTAAAGTTTCAAATACATGACAGCTAGTAGGTAGCGAAAACTTACAATAATCTAAGATGATAATGAGTAATAATGGTCATGAAAGAAAATCAAGGATTGGATGTTAGCACCTTGGGCGTAGAAACATTGTAGTTTACCTGAACGAAGTCAAGTCGGTTAGCAGTGCTATCCATGTCATTTGTTAGTTCGTCCATGAGATGTCCCTGCAAAATATATGACAATTTGCGGCCTAAATATAAAGAATTACTCCAATGGAGTTACTTGTATCAAAGACAACAAAGGTGTGCAAAGGCACTTGGATCGAAGCCAGACAAAGATAGGCAGCATGGTTATGGAGTAAAATCAAACGACTTCGGGAGAGGGAGGAGCACCTGCACTGATAGTTCTTCGTGAATTGAGAGACCAACGTCACCCAAACGCTCCACAGTTGCGCTTAAATCGTCTAAGTCTTCATCTTGCTCTCTGTTGGACGGGGAGGGGGGAACAAGCACACAGAGCATAGATATAAGTGCGCATCATAAGTGACTAGAATTGCATTCATGAGCAAGGAAAAATAACATAACGTAAGGCATTGGCTGAATCCAAGCAAATGTTCAACCGATGATGTTATATACAGGTCCGTTTCACTGTGCTGTCAAGAGGCTTCACTCAGAGAATGCATGTCCTAAACCAGTAGAAACTCACTTCAAAATGAGAGCCTGTCGATCAGATTCATAGACGTCATCTACTCCGTGATTGGAAGTGGGTTGATACTGGTTCTCCAATCTCATCAACTCTCGACGACTAATCTGACCATTGCTTGCTTCAGTGTTCTTCTCCACCACAACTGATAACTTCTCCACGATAGACTGCACCTGTCGAATTTGGGAAGATACATTAAAGCCAGATTGAGAACTATTGATGTCGGAAAACATAGAGCAATGGATCACAGATATGAGCAAAAGAAGAAATGCAACCTCTAAAGATAGGAGTTATTAAAAACTACAGTAGTAACCTGGCTGCGCGTAGAGGCAGTCCATTTCTTGCGGCGCTCAATCTCAGCACTATCAACACTAAATCGAGCTGGATCCCTTTCTGCGACGCCGATTGCTCGATCCAACTCGTTCACCTGAAATTTTTGTACGCCATTAACTTTCAGTACTTCTAGAGAAACCTAAAACTTGTCTTACAGACACTGACGATTCGACAGCAGGATGACAAGTAGGATTGACATTGGATGCGTGTTGCATCTTAAATAACATCTGGAATTATAGTCCAGCACCCTAATGAATCGATTAAAATTTCTTGAAAGTTCTTAACATCCTCAAATCCAATTTTGTCTAACAATGGAATCTACATAAATTTCTTTGACAAATAGAAAACAAGACTAAAAACGAAAAGCATACCAAATGGCACACAGATTTCAACCTCCCCCATAGAAACATCGTCATAAAAATGCAATATTTTTGTATTTGATCACTATGAGGTCTTCTAATCATTACTTTTGCTACTGAACAAGTCAGATCGTAACAGCGAGTACATGTTCAAATATCATTCCATGACGGGCGAGACTACATCTCTGCATTCCACGAATCAGAAGATCACACATTCTGTTCCACAGCAAACTGCTGCAGATAGATCCACTCCTGTTTTTCAAGAGAATCCTCGAACAATAACCACATGGTATTTCAGACTATAGCCCAACGCCACATGCCAAGATCGAAAATCTAATGTGCTAAACTCGAGGAAGGGCATAACGTCGCTGGGGTGATGCTAGCACTAGAGAAAATGGCACCTAACAATCGACACTGTTGGCATATTCCTGCTAACCACCCACAAAACAAGCCGAGGGCTATCAACAGATCGCAAATGTTAGACAAAAAGCACAACCTGCCACTCGATACTCTCGCAACCAGAAAGAAGTTCCTTATGCAGCACAATGCGCTCCGCAGCAGAAGAAGGTAACTGCTCCCACCTCCCCAATGTGACCTGTAACTTCACCACCTGAACATAACCAAACACAAAAATCTTACATTCCTCCTTACTACAACGTTCTCCTAAGCCCTAGTAGCCAAATACGATCGAAGAGGGCAAAAATCAGAAAACCCATATGCCATACCGAGTCTTGCACCTCCTCACGAACGAGGTAGAAGGGATCTAACGCCGACATGATGATCCCTGCCTCCCCACGCCGCTTCTGCTCCTCTACCCCACCCGCTCAACACACCATTTTCCCCCTCACCTCTGCAATCTTCTCCAACCTCTATACGCCCGTGCTATCGTACCCAAGTGACGATGCTGCTGCTGCTGTTGTCTAGTCGCCGTCGTCGTCGTGTTACGACCGAGATAACACGCACATCATCCCCGATAGCTCTTCCGCGAAAGCACTACTCCCTCACAACAACTCACACATTCCCGATGAACTGAAGGCTCTGCTTAGTCCCAGCGGTAGCCTGCATGCCATCAAGCGCAGCGTTGATCGACCCAGTTGCGACAATCGAAGGGAAAAGCGGCCCTGCTTCTTACGATTGCTCGCGGGGGAGGGATCGGCGATGGATTTGAAGCAAGACGAGCATCGATCTTGCGAGAGGTGAAGGCCACAGCGCAACCAGAGTTGGAGAGGGTGAGGTGATTGTGGCCACTAACTTTAGCAGGGACCATTGGCAAGGACACTATAATGCTCATATATGGGGAATGTTAAATAGACCCAAGTTTTTACTAAATTGACCTAACCATCATGAAAAAAATAATGACCTCTACATTCATTTTCCCACTATTGGATCTGCAACCAATACAAACCAACCACATTCATTATGATTACCATATTCTTCATCTGAGGTGGGTTTATTTAGTAAAAGCATGGGTCTATTTAACATTCTTTTCTATATATATACATATATTTATATTTATATTTATTTATTTATTTATTTTCAATTTTTGCATTTATTTCCAGATAACTTATCTATTGAAAACTTACCATCATGTTCAATTCTTCTTTTGTTTTAATAGAAAACATTTATATATGTGCATTAACTTTTATTTTTTTTGTTTAATATTGATATATATATATATATATATATATATATACAGATCATTTTCTTTTCATTCACATTCAAGAACTATCATATGTTTTTTCAGATTTTTTATTTTGTTATTTTGAATTTGAAGATGATTGTGTGTTCTACTCTTGTATGTTAATTTTATAAATTTAATATATACTTGGTTTAGATATTATAAAAGTGTTTCTTAAATCTCTGCTCTATGTGTATACAAAGGTGATAATGAGTTTTTCTCGAGTCATTGATAATATTTCATATTTAAACTTTAAATTATATAGTTATTTGGTTATTACTTTGCTTTCTATAACTGCCTTCAAATAATACATTTGAAATATTATTTGATGTAGTACTCATCTCCAATAACATTACAAATTACAAAAACTTCTTTTTAAAGTTTTTGTCTAAATGTATTACATCTTATTGTCTTTTGATAAAGAACATGTCTTGTTAAAGGGTTTTTATTTAAATTTTCATACCAAAATTTATGTAAAAGTCCAAAAATTATCTAAATTTTTTTTGTAAGTTATATTTTGGAAATAAATTGATTTTCTGTTTGTTGTCTAATCTATTATAACAAAATTTATAAAAAAGAAGAAGAAGTTAAATCTACATTTTAAAAAAAAAAGTTGATTCTTAAATATATATACTTTATGCCATCTTAGTATTGATATTAGTAGTTGGTCCTTGATTTGATAGATGTTTTGATTATATATATATATATATATATATACGTATATACACACACACACACTAGAGTATTTTTAAAATTTCTAAATAATTCTTGTACACTTACTAATATTATATCTCTACCAAATTATAAAAAACTTTAAATTATTCTTATATCAACTTTAGTTATAGACATTTTTTACCTTGAACCCTTAGTAATTATTTATTGCAACAAGAAGTAGTAGCAACTCATTTATTTGGTAATAAAAAAAATAATATAGTTAAATTATATTTTATATTAGTTAAAACACACACACACACACACACACACATATATATATATATATATATATATATATAATTTTAGACATAACAAAACTGTCATAAATATAATTTAAAAATAAAATTAGCATAAATTAATTTAATGATAAATTATTTTTAGTTTTTAAAATAATATATTTATTTAGAAATCAAATCAATTAATATTTAAACAGAATTGTTAATGTTATATCTCCAATTGATATTGCTACATCCTATGTAATCTCTACACATTCTAAACTGACCAGAAGCAGGTTTTTGTACTTAGGGCATGTTTAATAGCCTAATAGTTAATCCCAGTATTAATCCAAAAATAGAGCAAATAAAAAAAAAGTTTATTGTGTTTTTGGCAGTCAAACAAAAATAAAATCAATAAAATTAAATAATTCAAATTTAAATAAAAAAGTTTTTGAGGAAAATATAAAATAAATTATTGATTTTTTAAAAATAAAATATTTATTGTCTCTCTTTGAACAACCATCGTTTTCTAAAAGAAAAAAGAAAAAAATAAAGAAATGAGCAAAATAAAGAAGCATATTATTAGCTAGTTGTCTATGAAGAGGTCATGTAGGGTGTAGCAATATCAATTGGGGATATAATATTAACAATTTTCTATACAAATTACATATTGTTGTTGTTTTTGTTTTTGTTTGTTTTTTGTTTTTTTGTTTTTTAAAAAATTACAACAACATATTTAAATTATTTTCATTAATCTTTCCAAGTTGTTGAAAATCCACTTCAAATCTTTAAATTATAATGAATTTATTGTATGAAAACAGAATAAAAAAGTTGAAAATTAAAGTAATTACACAAGAACATGAAAATTAACCAAAGTTTTAAAAGAATATTCTCCAACAAACTTGAAGGTAAAAAAAGAATAAAAGATAAAACAAAATTACTATATCAATATGATCAAGTCTATAGATAAAAAATTGTATTGATGAGGATTGGTCACAATAGGAGTTATGCCATCACTCGAGCAATAGTGTGGAGTTTCGAAGGCGGACAACAGTGCAATTGTGAGATTAGGGTTAGCCCTTCGGGAAGGAGCACAAGACTCCTCTGAGTCCGGGCACAAAAGCACAAGACCCCTCCGATACTGGGCACAAGGGGTGTCACGCAGACTTCGCAATTCTGCCCGCGCGACGTTGCTGACGACGAGAGGAAGGCGGAGGTTGGACCCAGTTGGTGGCCGGGACAGAATCGGTGGAACGATGTGCGAGCATCATGAAGTCATTCGTCCTACAATTAGTCTTACTCATTCAGAGGTGTTTCAGAGATCATTTCAGATATTGTATGTTCTTTGATTCCGGAACTCCTGAGAACTCTTCCCCAATGTATGCTGGGGGCTTTAGTGAAATTATACGGGTGATTTATTCTCTGCAGATTGGTGGGAAATATAGAAGGGATTTCAGACCCAAATTTTCTGCATGAGTAATGTTCGCACGTGATCTATGAAGCGGAATTTTGCTGTAATGAGATACTGCGAAGGTGATTAAGATGGGCACAATACTTTCAACCCTAGCTAAGGAATTGTTGAGTACGAGGGTTTTAGAGATGATTTTCTGAGGATTCAGATAGTCTATCGATGCAGATGGGGACTATGTTGTGGCCAGCTCATCTTTGTTGACCTACCGAAGAGGTGGCGTCCCGGTGGAGCGCTATGCTATCCAGGTACACTCAGTCTCTCGGATGTCTTATGACCTTTAGGTTCTCGAAGATTCATTTAGTTTCATTTATTTCTGAACCATTTCTTGTCGATGGTTTCGGCACATCGATACGCTTATCAGATTGCTCCCAAACGCACTGCATGCTGGGCTCAAGCAGTATGAAATCGACTCAGATTGCAGCGCGGAAACCTCTAATGAGAGGTCATGGCGTTTTTATGATTTTTATGACAGAAGGTTTGGCTTACGGCGATGGAAACAAGTACTTCAAAATTACCATGTTGGGGCAATGACCAGCATCGTTTACAACGATGGTTTTGCCTCCACAGGAAAGGAACTAGACGGCCCTACATCTGTAAGTGGGGGGGAGGTTTGGAGGTTATGCAAGGCAGGGCGTTTGAGGGAAGCTATTCAATTGCTTGGAATAATAAAGCAACGTGGCTTACTAGTGAATTCAAACACCTATGGATGTGTCATTGAGCATTGTGCCAAAGCAAGGCGTTTTGAAGACGGAAAGATGGTTCACAAGCAGTTGGATGAGCTTGGCGTAGAAATTGATATTTACCTTGGTAATAGTCTCATAAATTTTTACAGTAAATTTGAGGATGTCGCCAGTGCAGAGCAGGTCTTCAGGAGGATGACACTGCGAGACGTGGTTACTTGGAGTTCTATGATAGCTGCTTACGCTGGTAATAATCACCCAGCTAAGGCTTTTGACACGTTTGAACGCATGACAGATGCCAACATCGAGCCCAACAGGATTACGTTTTTAAGTATCCTTAAAGCTTGTAATAACTATTCGATTCTGGAGAAGGGTAGGAAAATTCATACCATTGTAAAGGCCATGGGGATGGAAACTGACGTCGCAGTGGCAACTGCACTAATCACTATGTATTCCAAGTGTGGAGAAATCTCCGTCGCGTGCGAAGTTTTTCATAAGATGACGGAACGTAACGTGGTCTCATGGACGGCAATTATACAAGCGAATGCGCAGCATCGCAAGTTAAATGAGGCATTTGAGCTGTATGAGCAGATGTTACAGGCTGGGATCTCACCGAATGCTGTCACGTTTGTAAGTTTGCTCAATTCGTGTAACACACCCGAGGCTTTAAATCGGGGAAGAAGGATCCATTCTCATATCAGCGAAAGAGGTTTGGAGACGGACATGATTGTGGCAAATGCGTTGATCACCATGTATTGCAAGTGTAACAGTGTCCAGGAAGCTCGGGAAATTTTTGATCGGATGAGCAAACGAGATGTTATTTCATGGAGTGCCATGATTGCTGGATATGCACAAAGTGGTTACAAAGATAAGGAGTCTATTGACGAGGTCTTCCAGCTTCTTGAACGCATGCGACGAGAAGGTGTATTTCCTAATAAAGTAACGTTTATGAGTATTTTAAGAGCTTGCACTGCACACGGAGCTCTTGAACAGGGTCGTCAAATTCACGCAGAATTATCGAAAGTGGGCTTCGAGTTGGATAGGTCTTTGCAGACTGCAATTTTCAACATGTACGCCAAATGTGGCAGTATTTATGAGGCAGAGCAGGTTTTCAGCAAGATGGCAAATAAGAACGTAGTTGCCTGGACCTCATTTCTGAGCATGTATATCAAGTGTGGAGATCTTTCTTCGGCAGAAAAAGTGTTTAGTGAAATGCCGACCCGGAACGTAGTATCTTGGAACTTAATGATAGCTGGATATGCTCAAAATGGAGACATTGTCAAGGTTTTTGAGCTTCTTTCTAGCATGAAAGCAGAAGGGTTTCAACCAGACAGAGTAACTGTAATCACGATACTTGAAGCTTGTGGGGCACTCGCGGGGTTGGAGAGAGGGAAGCTGGTCCATGCTGAGGCCGTGAAGCTGGGGCTTGAATCTGATACCGTTGTTGCTACATCTCTCATAGGAATGTATTCCAAGTGTGGTCAAGTCGCTGAAGCTCGAACTGTGTTTGACAAGATGTCAAACCGCGATACAGTTGCTTGGAATGCCATGCTCGCTGGGTATGGTCAACACGGGGACGGTCTAGAAGCAGTGGACCTTTTTAAACGCATGCTCAAAGAACGTGTCTCTCCGAATGAAATCACTCTCACAGCTGTAATTTCCGCTTGTAGTCGTGCAGGTCTTGTGCAGGAGGGCCGCGAAATATTTCGCATGATGCAAGAGGACTTTAAAATGACGCCAAGGAAACAACATTACGGTTGCATGGTTGATCTTCTTGGCCGAGCTGGAAGATTGCAAGAAGCAGAGGAGTTCATTCAAAGCATGCCTTGCGAACCAGACATTTCAGTTTGGCATGCTCTACTTGGTGCGTGCAAGTCCCATAACAATGTGCAGCTTGCCGAGCGGGCAGCCCATCACATTCTTGAATTGGAGCCATCTTACGCCAGCGTGTACATAACTCTTTCCAATATTTATGCGCAAGCTGGACGATGGGATGACTCCACAAAGGTGAGGAGAGTGATGGACGACAGAGGCTTGAAGAAAGACCGTGGCGAAAGCTCAATAGAAATCGATGGTAGAATACACACTTTTGTGGCTGAGGATTGCGCGCACCCGGAAATAGATGCTATTCATGCTGAGCTTGAGACGCTCACAAAGGAAATGAAGGAGGCTGGATACACGCCAGACATGAGGTTTGTCTTGCATGATGTGGATGATGTGCAGAAAGAGAAGGCCTTGTGTCACCACAGTGAGAAGCTGGCCATTGCATATGGCTTACTCAAAACACCTTCTGGGACCCCTATTCGTATCATGAAGAATCTTCGTGTCTGCGGTGATTGTCACACAGCAACCAAGTTCATCTCTAAGATTAGGAAGCGGGAAATCGTCGCCAGAGATGCTAACCGGTTTCATTATTTCAACAATGGAACATGCTCTTGTGGGGATTTTTGGTAACAGAAGCTATTCTTTTAACTCTTTCAAGCATTTTCAGAGAGTCTCTTGCCGTTTTCTCCAAGGATACGGGCTTCTTGCCCTGTTAGTGCTGTTTATGCAGATCTTACATTGGCGTGATGCATATTTGCTCTTTCTTTACAGTGAAATGCAGTTGGATATTGCAAGGAGCATAGTGTGATAATGACCTGTAAATGTGGAAGTAGTAGCTTCCACGTATGAAATACCAAAATTATCCAGATAAAATGTAGCATAAACGTACAGCATACCATCAGAGTCAATTTGATTGTTTAGATCATTTATGCTGACTGGAGCCAAGATGAGAGATACTTTTTTTTTTACGGTACTGAACAGCGTTAGAAACCGAACTTTGAATCCACTAATTTTTTTGCCTTCACCACAACAGAAGTTACAAATTCTATGTTCAAATCCTATTCGAATATGAACCAGAAACCTCTATAATAATGCAGAAATCCTAAATCTCAGTGTCGAAGCTCCACCCTGCTCACAGAAATTAGTTCCCAGACACGCTCAAATACAAGTTAAAACCGATACTTGTGTCCTGACACCGACTTCTTTCACATATTGAAAGCGCAATCGTACGCAACGGCAATCAAGGCCAGTCTTACAATGATAGCTTGTGACGTAGCATTTGAACAGGTAAGAGCTAATGCTTTCATCTGGCCTCGAGTATTAATGTTCACGGAAGATTATAAATTCGCGTTGCACATCAATCGATCATTCAGATGCTCACAAGCGCATGTACACTCTTCTACTGATCACAAACACCAAACGTACAGGCAAGTTTTCTGTGGAACATGAGGTAGATACGGGGAGCAGTTCCAGTTATGAGGTGTGCATCAACTCGTTGATCGCTGGTCTGCTCATGTGATCCGTCTAATACTCCACCTGCACAACGTCAGGGTGATGCACTTTATATTTCGAGCTGGTGACTGCACACGCTTCAACACCCGAAGGTGTCTAAACAACACGCTCTGGCAAGCGGCAGGAACTGGCGAGAGCTGGGACTTCTTGAGTCTTGATTTGGGCAGTATTATTTTGTTCGAAAACATGTTCAGGGTTGGGCACGAGCGAAACGCATGCTGAGCAATGCTTTTCTCTGGTAGAGTAGCTTCTCTTTACACCTCACCTTCTCCAATTGCATGAACACGTCGGCATTGCCAAAATATCTTCGCTGCTGTGATTCTTTCTAAGCTTTGCACCATCCTTTAAAAATCTGCTCATCCTAGAGTGAAAAATTTCAGAGCTGCAGCTGTACCTTGGGTGGGTGATTGCAAGCATATCACATGCTTCATCATCTTGACCAACAATACTTACGCACGCTACGTGACCGCAAACCAATTGGTGCCCCAGCTGGATGAAAAAGTGCTTGGATTGTGGTCGCAAATCTAACCTTAAAATATCAATCCAGAAAGGAAGCTTAAACGAAACAACTGGGAAAATTGTCTGGACGAGCAACAAGAGTCTTCAGCAACAAGTCTTTAGTGTAATAACAGAAGCACCTCGACCAGAAACTTCTCACCTTTACAACAACCGTGAGAGATACAACAATGACGTGAATTTGATTGCTACATGTGATATTTGTGAGGCAGCTTTCACGCTCACGGACCAGACCATGAAAGAATCAGCTTAGCTCAGAATATTCAACTTAAAATATTAATCATCCACAGGAATAGTGGTTATTTGATGTTGCACAAGACAGGTTGCTGTTTGACTCGAATATGACCTGAGAAAAACAAATTGAAACTGGTGTTCATCACAGAGGACACTACAATACCATTTCTTCTGCAGGCAAAGTTCATATGCCCACATGTAATAGCACGTTGTCTCGAAGAAATATCATGAAAGAAGTGCTCCCTCGGGTCCATGATGGGTCACCAGAACTTTTGGATCTTAAGAAGTGCCAGCAGAAATATTCAAGTCCCACGTTTGTCACTTCGACGCTTACGAGCTTACTAAGAAGTACTCCCATTTCATATACATGTGTAATGAAACATATGCCTGTCTTAATTCGTGAGCCCCGATTTACAAGAGCACTTCCAACTTCTAGTCAGAAATATTAACGCCGACATTACTCCCTTGTCAAATGAGTCGAAGTTCATAATGCGTCCCAAGCAAGTCGGCTAGCAGTACATGCTTGATGCAATCAAAGCAAAACCCAGTAGCACAAGGAACATATGATAGCCAAACACCATTTATACTTCTCCATATTTGACTAAGACCCCAGTCATCGCATATCACTATAAAGTCCAGAAAGATGAAACCACACGCACACCTTGAACGTGCGATTCATTATGTGCCTCAAAAAAAACTAGACGTCGAATAAGAACGCACCTGCCATCACTGGTCTGTAGCAGATATTCATGCAACTATGTTCTGCTAGAGTAAGACCGGAAAAGAGAAGTAGTGGAGAAATAATAGCATACCTACTTAAAATTACGATGGCCTACTCAGGACACGTATTTGATTATTGAATATTACCTCACAGTCAGGAAGTTTAGATTAATTTTATGCGTACAAATTCAAATTAGAAGTTCCAAAGATCCAAGGCTTCTGCGTCTGAACCACCAACCATTAATACTGCGTTCATTTAGTGAGATGCTCCCCCCCTCAGCATCAACGGAATAATGAGTTTCCCAGCGGTAGAGCACGCATGTTGATAAAGCCCATGAGGGAGCTTACGCTGATGGTTCAGGGTTTGCAGTCTCCTTGAAATTAACACCTACACATGAAGAGATCTGGTGAATTGTGCGTCCCCTACGTCTCACCAATCTTGAAGTGATGATACTTTCTCCTCAGATCAATTCAGAGGACTAGGGAGAGTCACCCAGCTCTGTTATGACGGGCGGATTGTTATTCTGTGACAACGGGACGAATATCCCACCTGCAGAAGGTCCTTCGACTACTGTATTGATGCCTACAGATCCACTAGGAATGCTAGAATTCCCAGCTGGCTCCCCCAGTCCACCTAACTTCCTGCGTTTAGCTGCACCACCATCTCCCCTCTCCTTCCTCTCTTTCCCAATCGTCACAGTCTCCGATCGCATTTGCTTGCACAATTCTCGTATCACTCGCATACCTACTGCATTCATTTACCACTAATCAAAAAAAAAAAAAAAAAAAACAAAACAAAACAAAACAAAACAAAACAAACTACTACATGATCTCAACAAACCAAGATAAACCTCACAGGAAAATTTCACAACAAATAGATGTATCACACAAAACAATCCCACGAAACAATACAAAACATAATGCTCAATGGAGCACACCATCCAGATGCCACTGCGCACCTCTCCGTATGTTGCGTGCAGCTTTGCAATTTCGATAATAAGGAGTCTTAAGCACCTGGAAAGAACAACCCCGCCAACATTGTCATCCCTTTTACAAAAGCCCCAATTAATCAGCATCTCTCCAAGAAAGAGAAAGGACAAATTTGTCAACAGACCAGTAGAGTATTAAGCCGAATCTCATGCACCGCTTGCTCCAACTCGGCGAACCTGCACGTCCCAGTTGCCACCCCCTGCTGCCTCCGCTTGCGCAACGCGGCTTTCTCAACTCGCTCCTTTTCCGACAGATCCATTGGACGCTCCGCCTCCATAGCACCAAGCCCTCCCTCCCCCCCACAAACAGAACTCATCTCAACTCGCTTCCAATTCTAAAACCATCACAACGTCTCATCCGAAACCCACCACTCGAATTCCTCTTCCCACGTGTTGTGCATCTGTGTTGGGGGTGCATTGACGGATTGTGCAGAAATCTGTGGCGAATTTCGGAGCAGCTGCGTCCACTGCTGCCAAGGACGTTGAAGGGCTGTGTATGGGGTTACAACGCTGATTGGGCTCCGAACTGTCAAGTACAGCAAAGGAGAAGAAAATATATATATATATATATATATATAAAGAAACAAAAACAAAAACAAGAACAAACAAACACAGGACGCAATTCCATTATGAGGTGTGCATGTGGCCCTTCTACTCACATTTAGTGTACATGAACTGTAGGATACGTAACAATGAAATAAACTACTTCGCTTTTGAGGAAAAGTCGCAATACTCAGGAGTGCCAATCTCTACACAGGATAGTCGGGAAAACGCCATTGTTGGGTCGGTGAGTCGTGGGCCTCGAAAGTGATCTCATCCTCGAAAGAGATCTCAATTGAGACCTGGTCGGGATATTAGACTGACAACACACAGCGAAGATGCTTCAGCTTCGAAGTTCGAAGCGACAGCTCGCAACTGAGTGCGCTGTAGGATCTCTCCCACACTGGATTGGTCGTTCTCTTGCTGCTGCTGCTGCTGCCTAGATTCAATCAACCGCACCATTACCTATCCATGAACATGCTAGGTGTATTCTCCAGGTACGCGGACGTGCTATTTGGGTTAGAAACTGTGTAGGTCCGAGGTAGAATGGATTTTATCCTGGTTGCATTGGAGGATTGGGCGGAAATCATTCAGGAGGTGGACGCTGGATTGTGTGATTTCGGATGTTGATTGTGCGTGAGTATATGGCGATTTTTCGAATCCGAAAGCTTATGGGGAATTTGACTTTGGCGGTGGTGTGTTTCGTGTGTTCGCAATATTTGTCTAGGGTTTTTAGGATTATGGTGTGATCGTCGTGATTTCCATTGTGGATGATTGTTTTTGTACTTCTGGTGGAATCCTGTTGGTGGTTGCTTGGAGGGTATCACAAAATCTCATTGCGTTCAGCTGAATAGGGGATCTCATGAGCTCGATTACGTAACGGCATGTCACTAGAGAGCTAGGCCAGAGTTTACTTGCACAGGCTCAATTTTCTAAGATGGTGTGTTTTGCCCATTGAACCTGAGCGGAGTGCAAATTTAGATGCTGTAGGAAGTAATCGTGGTGTTACTTGGTTCTTTCTGGGGATTTAGTTAAATCGCAAATTTGATCATTCTTGAGAAGAATCGCTTTATTACGTCCGTTTACAAGAGTTGCAATGAGCTGACGTACATCAATTGACGGTAGCTCGATTTCTTGGAATAATCTAGCTTGCGGTTATCCTATGTACATTGTGCTGTTCATGGATGCTAATAAGTGATTCCTCAACGTATCAAATTAAAATGCAGGGGTAGGCAGCAACAGCAACAGGGACAGCCTCCCCCTACAACACAGAGTTGGTATCCTCCTTCAGTTGCAGGCCCAGCTAGTAGTGGACGAACACGCACGCCACCGCCTCCTCCTCCAAATTTGGGCGGCCGTCCTTCAGGAGGTAGTCCACTCTCTCGGACGTCTACCAGTGAAGCGTGCTCAACTTCAGGAGGTTATATACCACCGACCAGTGCACTAGCTTCGTCGCCGAGGCCACACACATCGAATTCTGTTCCTTCTAATTCTGTGGCAGCTTGAGAGAAAAGAGGTGATCTCTTTGTCCACAAGGTAGCACATTTTTGAAGGTATGTGGGAAATAATCAGAAGTATTTATGACTCATGCCTTGGGCAGCGGTGAAAAAAGCAATATTTAACTACGGCCCCACATTCAACAATAGGAGTTGGTGCAGGTAAAAAGGTCACGTTCTGCATTATTTTAACGTTGAGTTCAGTGCCTTTTAAGCTCGGAACTGCTTTTTTTATCATTATATTCCGAAGTAGGACTCGATCATGTGTACAAAATGTATTGGAGGAGTACACCCATCATGCAATCGACCTTTGGTTCATCTTGAGGTTTTAGAGTCGTAGGGCGACTACCATCTTTCCTTAGATTTTACTTAGGTCTTACGAATTGTTGATGTGCAAGAGGTGAAAGTATACTTTGCACATTAGCCGCTATTATTCTTGTCTAATTTTTATTTACTTTCCCGAAACTTGACTTTCTCTTCTCTTTTATGCAGACCAGAGGAGTTGACCTTATTGCTGAATGACAAAGACGCGTACAATTCTTTTCTACATTCACTTGATGAAGTAAAGAGGCTGGATATGGTACTAAAAATTATGTCTCAGTCTTTGCAGATCAGGACGTAGGACTCGTTTGTTTAGCCTGTGAATCATTGGAGGACATCGTGGGAGAATCGTATTGCAGATAGATGACAGTTTATGTGATTTTGGGTTCAATGCCTGAGTATTTCTTCTCATTGCTTTCGAGCAATATTCGGCGCTCTTGAACCTAATTATTTTTAATCCATCGTGCATTTGATAGAAATTATTGTGCTACAATTCTGTTTCTGAGGTCTCTTGTATGCAACCGAAATTGATTTTAATTGAGCAGCGTCTTACTATGCCATTTGGAAATTTGCAGATCAGCGCCGAACTAGAGAAATCAACTATATATGAATCAAGTGAGCTTCTACCATTTTGCTTGTCTGCCCAAATTTCTGGACTGGTGAATTTTTATTTTATGTCTTTGTTTTCAATCGTTTCACATGAAATTTGACATAGGTGGACACGAACGTCGACTGAAATTCCTGCATCACTCACTTGCTACCTGTTTTGAGCAGAAAAAAATTTAGCTAAGGAGTCAGAAATTGCAGAACTCAAGACTCAGGTGTGTTTGTTAAAATGTTAATTACTTATTTCTTCTAAGTATGTTTAAGTCATGCGTAAGCATGCTGTAATCATGAAATTCATTCGTAATATGAAGTTCTGCACTTGATGTATGAGGTTCTTTTCTGTACTATTTTTTTATCGATGCTGGATTGTGTTTAGATTTGTGTGCTTTCTTTTAGAATAACTGTCTGAAATCAATAGTGTGGGTCGAGGAAAACGCATGTCTGATATTTTCCACTCTTATGTTTGCGTTTCCTTAGTGCATGATCATAAAGAATACAGAGCTTGCTGACACTAAAGAAAAATTTGAAGAAGTTGATAAAAGGTACATGGAGGTGCAAGCCAATTCCTCGCCATCAGCCTTTCTTCAAGAGCTCCAAGGTGTGATTCAATCCCATAAGTATTTCTTTCTTTAGTGCAGTTGGTATGTCTCCTTTTTTGAGCAAATGCTTTCAAATTACATCATACACTAATGGCTTCGAATGTGCAGTTGCCGCAAATGAAGTTGATGAAGATTCTGAGAATCTGCATTGAAAATTTCTAGCAGGAGAAATAGAGCTTCTTGAGTTCACTCAAAAGTACCGTAAGCAGCGTCTCCTTTACCACAGACGTTCGTTGATTCGCATGGCGGCAATTTCCTCCATGACGACTCCAGGATAGACTTAGTAATAGAATTCTAGTGTACACATTTATATATATCTAGTTGTACAGTGGATTTATCGCCCCACAAGAGGCAAATGATGTTCCAGATTGTTTTTCCAGGATTACTGTCAATCTGGCCCTACTGGATACCCTTAGACAATGTCAGTGGCTGTAATTGTGATCTGACTTAAAAGGTAAAAATTAATGTATCAGTTTTTTCCTGGGTATGAGACTTTTCTTGCCCAAGTAAAGCCTTGTTTTTAGCATAGGATCTAAGCAATCTTCAGAGAATGTGTTTTTCTTGTTGCATGCTTAGTTTTCGTATTTTGAGAGAACCTTGAACCGTGGTTCCTGAACATTTTGTGTACTCAGTCAGCCCAACATCAGAGCGCTATTTGAAGTGTTTTCCATGGACTAATGGGAGTTTTCTGATGATGAAGTTGGCTGGTCTTGGCGGATTGAATGTCCTTGCTGCGTCCAGTGCCTGCTGCCACCGATTATTACTCTCTCTTAACGTTCAGCCAATTGGAGTCTTTGAAGCCAACTGTCTAGCGTATTATTTCGTGTAAGGATGCAGGACAATGGCTGGTGCAGCGAATCGGACAACTGGAGTTACTCTGATGGAGCTGACCGAGTGAATGTGTTGTCAGCAGATAAGTACCAATGCTAACATAATGAAGCGAAGTAGTTCAGTTATGCTTCAGATATGGGTGGCAAGTGCACGAGAGAGAAAAGTTACCAGTGATGATTCCTTTAATTTCGTGTTTCAGACACACACACACACATTCACTACTCAATACGGTAAAAACTGGCAATTCATGTACCAATTGGCACTACATTGGGAGTTACATTTACAACTGAAGCTAAATTTTACCATTTCTTTCTAATGACAATTTTTCAAAACCAGATGATCTCATATTTACTAACAAAAATTAGCCAGATCACTTTTGAGGTGGTAATTGGCGGTAAATACACAAGACCAATTCAGAGGTTAATATAGGAAATTCACCTCTTCATTATTCTTCCAAATATGCTCCAGCCAATTTTCTGCACTACCACACAAGCTCTCAACGCTACCGATTTCTCATCGTGCCGATTAGCCGAAAGTATGTCATGGTGGTTGAGTCACCAGTCAACTATGCGTTAGGTCCACCTCAATCGTAACGTACCTTTAAGTACCTACTTCGACAAGGAGAGCTGCAACCCCTCGTGCAGTGCCTATTAGGTACCCTCTAGCTTTGCTCTTCATCTCAAAGTAAATTAGATACCACAAAGCTTTGGGGCCTGTTGAGCAAATGCTTGTGGGTAGATTGAAGGTTGTTTGTCCTCCCGGATCAATTGGGTGTCAGCATGTTATTGTGCAGTGCACGCAGGCACTTACCGACGCAGATTATGATCTTGGAAAAGTGAATTCCATCGCACGCTTGGCACATAAAAGGTTAAAACTTGCCCCACTGAAAGTAGGTAGAAAAGTGTTGGTGAAATTCCTACAATACTGGTTGTCGGAAACGTGTCGGATGGCTATGAAAACAGTTTCAAACGGAGGAAACGTCGTCTGCTGAGCTTTTAATACCCCAGTCTGACCATCTTAGTACTCAAAAACCTTGACCAATGATGATACAGTTTACACGAACTGCACTAGTAAATCCGCGACAAGCTCATCGAGAGTCCAGAACTCCTCCAGTCCCATGGGGCTCAAATTAAACTACTAATATGAAATACGAACTCCAACTTCGCTTAAGACGAACGTGCACTTGTTCACCTCCAGCCTTCTAACTATACAAGTTTACCCATAAATTTAGCTACACTACATTTTGTAGCGAGATTCGAACAGAGCATAAAATGCAGAGTGAAGTCATCACTTAAAGCAATCCAAAGCTGTGTGTGTAACGCATCGCGAAGAAGTTAAGTCAGATACAAAAATATTAAAACAAAAAACACAAGGAATATATAAAACCATAACTAAGTGCGCAGGTTAGTAATAAATGGGCAGCACTGAGATTTAAGCTCCACAAATAATGCGAACATGATAAGAAAGCAAACAAACACCTGATAAGGTTACACAAGATCCGTACAAAATACATGCACAATTCGATCACAAGCGCGAGAGAGAGAGAAAGAGAGAGAACATCGCATCAGTAGTCAATGCCGCTAACTCGAAGGACTTCAAGGCGCAGTTCTCTAACTCAGTTCTCTATTCACAAATCCGTGTTTGAACATTCGATAGATCACATCTTGCAAGGTAGTCACAAGAAGATTTCAAAACCTAGATAAAAGATTTTTAAGGAAAAGGAAGGGGGGGGGGGATGTACAGAGAAAGTGCAATTTACAGGTATATCGCTCCCTCCAAAGAATAAATCGCCACGAGGCCTCTAACTCTCAGCTCTCGCGACCAACAAACAAAGGAACCCTGACAAACTCCGAAACATGGTCTCGTCTTTACTGAAATATGTTGTCCAGGTCGTGTTGCATGTCGTGCCACATCGATGAGACAGTGTCGCCCTCCTCGTATCTGTTATTCGAGTACCCGTTCGTGGGAGTACTCCCCTCTTCCTCTATCGTGCTAGAGCCGTGCGGTGGGGATCCATTTTTCTGCTGCGGGAGGGCGGGCTTCAAGTCTTGGTGATCCCACATGGGCTTCCCGTTCCCTCCTCCTTGCGTAGGAGATCGATTATTCAGACCCAAATTCAACAGCATGGACGAATCCAGTCGTCCATCCCTGCTGGGATTGCTCCCCGGCACCACAACCCGCGGTGCAGCCATACTAGTCGCCCAGAACTCCGGTTTCACAGCGTTACCCGAATTCTCACCACCCATCTCAGGGGCTGGATAGTATCCTCCCATGGGCGCGGTTCCATACAACACATTAAGATTGGACAGATCTTCTTGCCCAGGAGGCTTGTTCGTCATAGGTGCGTATACACCGTCGCTGTGATCCATGGAGCAAGGAACATAATGATGGGTATTCGGCGGCACAAATCCTGGCAGCTGAGCGAAGTTCAACCCAACCATATCCTGCGTTAACATCTGCTGGAACCCCACATTCTGCATAATACTGTGCTCCCCGGCGCTTGCAACCCCATATGATCCTGCTCGCTGCAAGTAAGGCTCCGCGGCGCCTCCACGCGGGTGGCGGCTCTTTTTCCTGGAGCCTCCTCCAACGGGCACATTGCGGAGCGTCCCTCCTGCGGTCCAGTATCGTTGGCACTGCCTGCAGAAGTGGCGCGGCTGCGTCACGCTGTAATTATTGTAGTAGCAAAACTTCGTGTTCATGGACTCGCAGCGCGGGCATGGAATCACCTTCGCTGGCTTCTCGCGCGTCGCGTTTGCGATCTTGGTTGGGGACCCAGGGGAGGATGGGCTTGCGGGCGCGTCGCTGCCCCCACTGAGAGCGGCGTTCGGGGAGCATTGAGGCTTGCTCCCAATCAAAGCGGCGCTATCGTTTTGATGCCCAGGCAATTGCATGGTGTCTTTACGCTTCCCACGACGACCTTCGCCTTCCTTGTTCGCTGCACTACCACGCTAAAATTTCACACCAGTACTGGCTCCTCCTCTTCAACCCTTCCAAAATTCAGCTCCCATCGACCCAGTCGGAAACTCCAAAGAATACCCACTGTTTGTATCACCACCCCGATTACGACCCTCGCCTCTCGCTCTCTCTCTCTCCCATATATATATATATAACTCGCTCTCACTCAATTCTCACCAACCCGGAAACGGGAATGCTACGCCAACAGCACCAGCAGAAGCACACGGCGAGCACAAGATGCCTGGATCAATCTAACACTCCTCACTAGACAACTTGTCTTGCTAATTTCTCCGCCTCTACAACACGCCTACGAAAACGAACAACGCTGGGAAACACACACCGGCTAACTAGCCAAATACATGCAAAATTGAGAGCGGAAACCAATTATCCGCTGCAGTGAGAGACACGATGCGATTGGATGCAACCTGTGACTGGAAGCACGTGAGGAAGGTTTCTGAATGGATCGGTGGTTGTGAAATAAAAACCACAATTACAGAATATTGCAAAATTATGAAACTACCAAAATAAATAAATAAATAAATAAAAACAGGAAGAGCGAAAAAAACCCATCCAGACGGGGACACGCACTGAAGCTGTAACTAACGGGGAGTGGAAGTGGGGTGCATGTCCATGTGTGTCGCCTCCGAAGCAGCTCCACGGTCTCTGTGTGAAAGAGAGAGGGAAAGAGAACCCGGCCGCGGAATCACCCCCACCGGGAGCGCGGCCCCTCTGGCAGCCCGCACTAGGATTCCGGGCAGAGTGGGCAGGTATTCGGGCAGTTAGGCAGCGAGAGACGTGGCCCGATGTCGTCCCTATGGGTTGGGGATTGGCCCCCTCTCGGTTCCCCCGACGCTGATTCCGCCCCGACTGGCGTAGGTTCGGGTCGTGTACGATTATAGGCGTGTACAGAATGGCCCATGCCAGACCTGGTGCATTATTGGAAGCAGTCGGCCGCCTTATCTTCCTCGTTCCCCTCCCGTCCCCTCGTTCCCTTTCAGCGCTCCCTTCTCACCTTATGTGTCACCTTATATACTTATTTCATATATATATATATATATATGTGTGTGTGTGTGTGTGCACATTGACTGTTTTGTGTTATTGATGTGTTTCGGTGGTTTGTGAATGTTGTTATCTGTAAGTGGAAAAACAACAAACTTTATTTTGGGGTTTACTTGAAACTTCTACTTTTAAACTGAAAAGTTTTGTTTTGAACCTAACTGTATAAATTTCTTACATAAATTCATGTACAACATCATCCTGGGTGTCCTGTTACAGACACAAAAATAATTTGATATATTATACAGTTAGAAACAGTGAAATCTCCAATAAAATACTGTACACTTCAATCAAAGTATTCAAGTTATTCTAAATTCGTTTTTATGTTGATGAATTTGATCATTGGATTGATATAATTTTACATTGATGTTGTAAATTAGTATAAACTATAACTTGTAAATCACATTAATATATATATATATATATATATCAAGACATGAATTGTTCATGTTTTAGACACAGACTTTTTGGTCTTCCCAGAATCTAAAGTTTAAACAAACACTTGTCTAAGTTTATATATAAGATATAAGTTAATTTTAGAACGAAAGTTGCAAGTTAAAATTAGAAATTCTATATAAATAAAAATAATAATTATATTTTTAACATACTATTTATATATAAGTAAGACTTATGTTATCTTTAGTATTTTCAGTAATTTTTATACAAATAGAATAACTTCTATTGCAGTTGAGGTATAATACATGTGAGTACCCAGCCAAGTCCAGCCAGGATGCTCATAAGAATAGGCTGCAGTTTCAATTATAAAGCTTTGGCATAGATTTTGTATCCCATGTTGAGCAAAGTAATTGGTTTCCAATTTGTAAGTGTTTCTTGTTATACTACCTTTACGCCATAGAGCTATTATTCTAGTTGTAATTTCTTGTGGTAAATGTCATGTATTAATGCTTTGTTATACCATTTTGAGATAATCTGGTCCAGTTAATCTCCAAAAAATTGTGTAAAATTCTAAAGCAATACTATTATATGTTAGTGACTTTCTAGTTGCTATGTCACATAGTGCAGTAGTGAATTCTTCTAGGATAATGGAATATGATAGTTTAACCTTATTTTTTTTTGTCATCAATTGGTTTGTGATAGCTTATACCACTATTGTATTTCATGAAGTTTGTTGGAGAATACACCGGGCACTTGGCTAATTAATCTTTAATTAAACTCCAAAAGATTCTTAAAGAAATTACAAAGAAACACAAAGCAATCATAAATTAATCTTAAAGAAATATATATATATATATATATATATATATATAATAAAAAAATCCTAAATAAATATCAAAGAAATCATTAAGAAATATTTAAAATTGAAATATTAATTGAACTCTAACCAAACTTTAACATAATCTTTAATAAATCCTTATGAAATCCTAAACCAATCCTAACCAAATTCTAACCAAACTATAGACCAAATCTTAATAAAATCCTATTAAAATCTTAATTAATTTCTAATAATGTCCTAAACTAATCCTTATCAAGCCTTAATGAAGCCCTAAATCAATCCTAATCAAATCCTAGATCAAATTCTAATGAAATCTTAATAAATTTTAACCAAGCTCTAAACAAATCTTAGACCAAATCCTATAATAGATTAAAACTTCAACAACTAATAATCAAACTCTTGATATGAATTCAAAATTTGCACACTTTTCAACAACTTAGTTAGAAACAAGCACAAGAAAAATGAGATCAATTGCATTTACCAATTGAGAGTAATATAAGATAATCCATTTGGATATTGAATGGCATCTTTTTTCAATCTTGATGCTTAGCTCTCAGTACCAATATCTCCTTCTTATACTGATGAATTACTTTCAAAATTCACAAATTTTTTGTAAATAAATTATATTATTTACATAAATAATTTTCATTTCAATCCAACTAGAAGATTGCCAAAGATCTTAGAAAAACTCATTGACCCTCAAATTCCAATTTTTGAGATGTCAACCAATTTAAACTTCAATAACCTTTAACCTAACTATTTGATTAAGCTAAAATCTGTATCACATATTTAGCACACCTATAAACACAAACTTATATATTTTCACCTATAGATGTATTACAAAACTCACAATTGTTTTTAAAATATCAATCCTATTTTATTTCACAAAAATCAAAATCACCTAAAATAACTCTAACTTTGCAAAGCTCTTATAATGTCATTACAAATTCAATTCCTTCAAAATTAATACTTAATCTCATTTGTTCTCAAATCTTGTTCTTCAATTTAAAAAAAGAACCTTGAAAATAGAGTAGATGCTTGATTTTGTATCTTAGGATTTGATTTCAATCCTGATTGGCAACCAATCTTCTCCAAGTATTAATTTTTCTTTTCTTAAAATAATTTTTACTAAAATCAACTCCTAATTACTTCCTGTATATATTTATATGCTTTATTTTTCTGATCTATCTTTTTTTGGTTTATTTATGGCCATATAAAGTAAGTAGAATCCATTTTTATAAAAAATAATTTTGATACTATAAGATTTTATTATCTCTCTATCTTTTATCTATATTTTTTAATTATATCTTTTTAATTAGACTCTTTTATAATATATTTTTTTTGTCTAATGGCCATATTATTATATGACACTACTTGATTACTTGTCCCCTTGGATACTATTGTCAACTCTCATGCATTATACAAATAGCTATAGTACAAGTTACAAATATACTCTATTACAACTCAGTTGGAATAAATCTATCCAAGCATATCTTTTAACTCAATAATATTAGATGCATTAGGTTTCTTTCAATGAACTTCAAAAAACTTGCAGAAAATATGATCTCACATATGTTTCTAATGGATACAACTTTGAAGAATCTACCCATCATCTCCACTTTTTTCAAGTATTTTCAATATGTCAACATGTGTGAAGAGCTCAATTTTTACCAAAGTTGGTAAAAGAATTGATGTGCACTAAAGTTAGAGTCTCTTGTCCTCTTTCTTATATGTATCATCTTTTATAATTTATAGATGTGATCCATTGTCCTACTCATAACTATGTTTGAAGAAATTTACATATAGGTGGTAGATGGAAGATTGCACCTTCCTTGGAATGTTTCACAAGTATTACTTCATATTGCCCATTCCACAAGTATTACTTCTACTGGAGCCTCACATTCTTTAACTAAATGCGTTATAGAGAGGTAATACTTGCATCTTATTGGTGGATTATTATAATTGACTTTGATAAGGGTCATATCAATAGTAATTGGATTAATGGTGCTTACTATGGAGTCAAAAGGAATCCTAGTTTTCAATGCAATACATAACTTTTGATCAATATTTGTAGTATTGACTATATGCTTTCTAAGTGTTGGTCCTTAGCTTTGTATTAGCTCAAATGCACTACTCAAAAACTTATTGAGTATGCATTTTTGTTACAGACATATATATTTACTTCAATAGTTACTTATATGATTAGGTAGAAGTAAGTAAAATAGAATAATTTCATAAAGTCTTCTAGAGAAGCTTCTTAGAAGCTTTATAGATGCGGTTTTGACTTTAGATATGTTCATAGATTAGAAACTTGGCCAAAAAGCTAACCATGTATTGGTAGCTTGTAGAATAAGTTACTTCCGTGTAGTAGCTTGTGGAACAAGCCAACTACATGGCGCATACATAGATAAATTGCCTTGCAAGATAAGACATGTGGCTAACAAAGTCAACACATGTTGGAGGTCCTATAGGACATCGCTATGTGGCTCTTAGTTAGATAGTATATATGGAGGCAAGAGTGAAGCCTTCTTCACTCTTGTCAATGCCTTTCTAGTCTTAGTCTTGTTTCAAGTCTTTCTAATCTTCTTGTTTTTGGCAATAGCTATTCTAGTTAATATTACATCACCTTTTGAAAGACTTTCTAGTTCTCTTCAGTGATAGAAGAGTGTATTGAAGATTCCCTTTCTTTGAGATTCATATCCTTGACAATTTTAGGATTACTCAGATCGGCATTTTCATGCTCATAGATTTAGCCAAGTTAAATCCTAGGATTTGTAGTTGCAATATGCACGTGCCATACTTAGAAATATAAAGAAAGCCTATTAAAAACTTATGAGCAGTTGATTTTGCTTTGCTAATCCTTTAAAAAAATATGTAAACTAAATCTTGTCTTAGTTTTAACTCTTTACAAGTCTCCTTGTATAGATATTCAATCCATTCTTAAATTGGTTTCATTATTTGATAATATTCTATTTCACATTTCATCTTAGTCTTATCAAGTGTGACTTGCAAAGTCCTATTATTTAGTAGAAAAATCCTTGTTGCTAGAAGACAATTCATTAGATAGAAGATCACCAAAAGAAGCACACATTAAGTAGATGTCTGTATGTTTTTTTTCCATTTGCATCATGGTTGCTCCCAATTATGGCTCTATATGCTCATTTCTAATCACACTTATCACCTTTTTTTTTAGATGCCAAAGGTGACATTATGGCATGTGCTAATTGTGACTTCAATGCATTTGCGTATGAGATAAGTTATGCCATTAAAGATTTATTGGACTTGTATTTAAAGAGTGTAGCAAATAAACATTTTTTTAAGTGAAATTTCTTGTTGAGGCAAAGTTATCTATTTGCTTCAATGAAAAAATTCTAAAATTATCCCA